ATTGATTGATTCCAGTTTCATTTTTCTTATCACTGTCTTATCTTTGTTTCTTGTGTTTAGGATTTTCTTCAATTTTTCCATTTTCCTATTTGAAAGTTTGTTAGAAGCTCTGAAGGTCTTCTGGACGAAATCCTATTTCTCCAGACTTGAGGACCAACTTGTGAAAAATTCTGGGAATGATTGGGAAGGATTTTTAATCTAAAAGTTTTATATAATTTTTCTGTATATCTCTTGTGTTTCTCATAAAAGTTTCAGGGGAATTTATTATGTGGATTTCTGATAGAAAATTCACAAGTTCACTGTCTCCAGAGAGCCTACTGTGCGAATTCCAGAATTGCCAAAGCTTCTTGATTGAGCATTTCTAACTCTCTTTCTACTTGTTTGGTGTTATTTTTTTTTTCATTTTGTTGCTATTGAGTTTAATAAAAAAAATAAAAAAAATTATTTCTCTTGCTTTTGTGTGTTTTGAATTGTTTCATGTTGATTTGCACTTTAGTTTAGTTTGTTCTTTGTTCTTAATTTTCTTGAGCTTGATTAGTGCATGACCCGAAGAAAACATACCTCTTTTGTTGAATTAGATCCAAAAATTGAAAGAACTATTTCTAGATTGAGAAGATCACAACCTATTCTTGATTCTCATTTGGTTTGTAATTCAACAATGGAAGGTATCTTAGGACATGAGCATGTGCATAATGAGGGCCATGGGAATGGGAATGAGAATTTGCATGATGATGGCCATGTTAATAATGAATTTGAAGGCTTGCATAACCCTAGAGAGGAGAGGAGCATTAGGCAATTAACTCAACCTAATTGGCATGATAATCCTTATGGCTTATATGTTCCTCCTACTAATGTTCAATTTGAAATTAAATCCTCCTTGATTAATGCATTGCCTAAATTTTATGGGTTACCAGGAGAGGATTGTCATAGGTTTTTGCATACTCTCCTATTGGTTTGTGATACTATGAAGCCTATGCATGTAAATGTTGATGATGTTCAAGCTAAGGCTTTTGTATTTTCTCTTGAAGGTTTAGCAAAGGAATGGTATTTCAACTACCTTTCTTATGTGAAAGTGAGCACATGGGCCGAGCTAAGAAGACTCTTCTTAGATAAATTCTTTCCAAATTCCAAGGTCACCAATTTGAGAAAGCAAATCTATGGGGTCCAACAAGGAGAGGATGAGAGTCTCTATGAGTATTGGACTAGATTCCAAGGCTTTTTGGCTAAATGCCCACACCATCAAATTTCTAGTGAGAATTTAGTCCAATATTTCTATGAGGGCTTGATTCCAAGAGACAAAGTTAACATTGATGCCGCTAGTGGGGGATGCTTAATTGACCTCACTTCCTTAAAGGCTTGGGAACTAATTGACAAGATGGCTTCAAGTGGTGCTCAATACTCTACAAGGGAAAAGAGAAATGTGAATATGGTAGGTTCTTCAATTCTTAATGATTCATATGTGGACTTGCTAGCTGCCAAGATTGGGAGAATGTTGGCTCCACAAATATCTCAAGTGAGCAATGTAAGTACTTCTCAAGCACTTGTCCCTTATTCTTGTACTTTTTGTGACTCACCTATGCATGTAGAAAGCAATTGTCCTATTAAGTTTGAACAAGTAAATGCTATCTACAATGGAAAACAATCCTATGGTGGGAGGCAAGGGCAAGGAGCTTATTCTAATACTTACAACCCTTCATGGAGAGACCATCCTAATTTCTCCTATTCAAATCCAAATGTGGCTTTACAAGACAATCAACAAAGAGGATCCTATCAAAACACCTTTGGCCGTGACCCTCCACCTCATTTGTCTCAAGGTAGCTCTTCTCAAAGCTACAATCCAAGTGGTAATTCTCTTGCACCTTCTTCTAATTCTTATAGTGATAGGAGGCTTGTTCCAATTGAGAGTTCTTCTAATTCAAACTCTTCTAATGATGTGAATGTGTTACGTAAGCAGTTGATTGAAATGAAATCTTTGTATAAAAACATGTATGATGGCTTAGGGAACAAGGTAGAGAGTATGGGTAACAAGTGTGAGAACATGAACTCTAAAATTGATGCCCTTACTTCTCAAATGAATATGCTTGCTAACCAATTAAGTGCAGCCAATGCTCAAGCCTCTACATTACCATCCAACACCATTGCTAATCCTAAAGCTAATCTTAATGCTATCACATTGAGGAGTGGCAAGGAGTTGGGAGAAAGAGTGCAAGAAGACAAAAGACAAGGGAAGGCCGAGAAGCCCTCTTTAAATTCTTCAATTGATGTTAATGTTTCTAGTTCTTCTTTTGCTCCTAATGATGCATCTTTTTGTAGAGATGATGAGGATGAAAACATTGAGGAGATCATATGTGAGCAACCACCATCTAAGGTGGAAAAGGGGACTATGGCCGAGTTGTTTAGTAAGGAAAAAAAGGGAGAGGCCGAGCAAAGTGAAACAAGAAAGGAGAGTTCAAGGAAGGAAGAAGGAAAGCAAAGTCAAGAGATTATGAAGAAGCTTCCTTTTCCACAAGCACAAGTGGTCCCTAAGCAAGTGAAGGGACAATTTGATCAAGAGGTATATGATTTCTTCCACAAGATTCATGTTAATGTACCCTTGATGATGTAGTTAAGAACTTTCCTAAGTATGCCAAATTTTTGAAAGATTGTTGTACAAATAAAAGAAAATTTAGGCCTAATGCAAGGGTACAATTACCCTCATCTGTGAGTGCTATCATGAAGCCTTCAACTCCCTATAAAATGTGAGGACCTCGGTTCCTTCACAATTCCATGCAAGATTGGCAACACACATTTTTCTCATGCATTGATAGACTTAGGTGCAGCCATTAATGTTATGCCTCTTTCAATTTATCATGCCTTGAGTCTTGATTGCATGCATAAGACACCTATGATATGCCAATTAGCGGATAGAAGTGTTAGAAGACCACATGGAGTAGTAGAAGACTTGTTGGTTTGTGTTAAAGGTCTATTATTTCCTGTGGATTTCTATGTGCTTGATATGTCAAAAGAAGGGAGTGGGGATGATATTTTGATTTTAGGAAGGCCATTTATGAGGACTGCCCGTACATTGATTGACATGGAAAAAGGTAGTTTGATTTTGAAATGTGGAGAGGATCATGTTATTTTTAATATATATGAAGCAATGAAACATCCTTTTGAGGATTATTCTTTGTTAGGTGTAAGTTCCATTGAGTTATTGCTTCATGATGCTTGTGAGTCTCACATGCTTGATTCTTTCTCACATGTTGATGATGATTTGTCTCTTGTTACTACTACATGTATTGATGGATGTAGTTGTCCTATTTGTTTAGAGATTGATGCATGCTTGAATGATGCAACTACTTCTCATGATTTGTTTAAAATATCTCCTATGCTTGATCTTGAAATGCTTGAGAAGGGTATATCTTCTTGTGTTGTAGGTACTAAAGCCATTAAGGCTGAATCTATGAGTTTTTCTCCACTCGAGCTTGATGTTCTTAGGATTCCCAAGCTATTGGAGGAAAATTCTACACTTTCACATGTCGAGGCCGTGGCTCAAGTCCAAGCACTTGAGGACAAGTTGCAAGAAAAGGGGGAGGCTGTAAAGAAAAAAGAGGAGAACTCAAAAACAAGTGAGAAGCCTAAAAGACAAGATAGTACCATGGAATATTCCACCAAATTAGACTTGAAGAAGCTCATTCCCTCTTGTGTAGAGCCACCTACCTTGGAGTTGAAGCCTTTACCATCCAATCTCAAGTATGCATATCTCATTGAGAATGAGAAGCTTCCGGTAATAATTTCTAACTCTTTATCTCTTGAGAAAGAAAATGCATTACTTGATGTGTTGAGAAAGAACATACATGCTATTGGTTGGACTTTGGCTGACATTCCTGGTATTGACCCTATTGTGTGCACACATAAAATTTTTCTTGAGGACAATGCTAAGCCCATTAGGCAACCACAAAGGAGACTTAACCCATTGATTTTAGATGTGGTAAAGAAAGAGTTGTTAAGCTACTTAGTGCTGGGATCATCTATCCTATAGCTGACAGTGAGTGGGTGTCTCCAACCCAAGTTGTACCTAAGAAAGGGGGGATTACTGTGATAAAAAATGAGAAAGGAGAGCTTGTTCCAACTAGAGTTCAAAATGCTTGGAGAGTGTGCATAGACTATAGGAAGCTCAATAATGTGACTAGGAAGGACCATTTTCCTTTGCCTTTTATTGATCAAATGCTTGAGAGATTGGCTTCCAAGTCCCATTATTGCTTCCTAGATGGGTTTAGTGGGTATTTTCAGATTCCTATAGCTCCTAGTGACCAAGATAAGACTACCTTTACATGCCCCTTTGGTACATTTGCCTATAGGAGGATGCCTTTTGGTCTTTGCAATGCACCTGGTACTTTTCAAAGATGCATGATGTCCATATTTTGTGATTTTATTGAACATTGCATGGAAGTCTTTATGGATGATTTTACTGTGTATGGTGAGTCCTTTGATTCATGCTTGCATTCTTTAGATAAAGTGCTTGGTAGGTGCATTGAAAAGAAGCTTGTGCTTAACTTTGAAAAATGCCATTTCATGGTAGATAAAGGAATTGTTTTAGGCCATTTGATTTCTTCCAATGGCATAGAGGTGGATAAGGCCAAAGTAGATGTGATTGCTTCTTTGCCATATCCTGTTTGTTTGAAAGATTTGAGATCATTTTTGGGACATGCAGGCTTTTATAGGAGATTTATAAAGGGGTTTAGTGAAATTGCTTTGCCTATGTCTAAACTCTTACAAAAAGATGATTTTGTTTTTGATGATGCTTGCAAAAGGAGTTTTGACACTTTGAAAAGCATGCTCATTTCCCCTCCCATTCTTAAAGCCCCAAATTGGTCTTTGCCTTTTGAGTTGTCATGTGATGCTTCTAATTTTGCTGTGGGAGCTATGCTTGGTCAAAGAGAGGGCAAGTTATCATATGTGATTGCTTATGCATCTAGGACCCTAGATTCAGCTCAGGTTAATTACACCACAACTGAGAAAGAGTTGTTTGCTATTGTTTTTGCACTTGATAAATTTAGATCATATCTTCTTAACTCTAAAGTTGTTGTGTACACTGACCATGCTGCTGTGAGGTACTTGTTTAAGAAGACAGATTCTAAGCCTCGCTTGATTCGATGGGTGATCTTGATGCAAGAATTTGATGTGGAGATAAGGGATAGGAGTGGTTCTACCAATCAAGTAGCGGATCATTTGTCTAGACTACCTCATTTAAAAGCTACTATGGTAAACTCTAACCCTACTATTCCTTGTGATTCATTTCCTGATGAGGCATTGTGTGCCATTTCATCTAAGCCTCCATGGTATGCCTCTTTTGCTAACTATATTGAGTGTGGAGTCTTGCCTCCTTGTGCTTCACGTTTTGCCATTGAAAAATTGAAAAGAGAGTCTAGATTTTACATTTGGGAACCACCTTTGATGTGGAAGATTTGTAGTGATAAAGTGATTAGGAGGTGTGTTGATGATGTTGATGTGCCTTCTATTCTTGAATTTTGTCACTCTCATGCATGTGGTGGTCATTTTAGCTCAAATAAGACAGCTAGGAAGGTTTTAGATTGTGGATTGTATTGGCCTAGCTTGTTTAAAGACTCTTATGAATTTTGTAAAGCATGCTTGAAATGTCAAAAGGTTAGTAGTTGGGGTAAGAGACATGAAATGCCTCAACAACCCATTTTATTTTGTGAGATTTTTGATGTTTGGGGCATTGACTTCATGGGTCCCTTTCCACCATCCTTTAGTTTTGAGTACATATTACTTGGTGTTGATTATGTTTCAAAGTGGATTGAAGCCATTCCTACTAGAACTTGTGATGCTAAGATTGTTTTGAAGTTTCTCAAATCTAATATTTTTTGTAGGTATGGAGTTCCTAAGGCCTTGGTAAGTGACCAAGGATCCCACTTTTGCAATAAGATGATGAAGGCTCTCTTGGCTAAATATGGGGTGCATCACAAAATCTCTACACCATATCATCCCCAAACTAATGGCCAAGCCGAAGTATCAAATAGAGAAGTCAAGAAAATCCTAACCAAGGTGGTGAACACAAATAGGAAGGATTGGTCTTTACACTTGGAGGATGCTTTGTGGGCTTATCGGACCGCTTATAAGACTCCCATTGGCATGTCTCCTTTTCGATTGGTGTATGGAAAGGCTTGCCACCTCCCTGTGGAGATAGAGCATAGGGCCTATTGGGCCATCAAGAAACTAAACTTGGATTTCCATCTTTCGGCTAAGGAGAGATTTCTTCAAATGCAAGAACTTGAGGAGCTTAGGTTGGATGCCTATGAGTCTTCTAGAATCTATAAGGAGAAAACAAGGATCCTTCATGACAAGCTAATCTTGAGGAAAAAGTTCCAAGAAGGAGATCAAGTCCTCTTGTTCCAAACAAGGTTTATTCATAAGCATGCCAAGTTGAAGTCTAAGTGGAGGGGACCATATCTAGTGACCAAGGTGTTTCCCTATGGGGTTTTGCAACTCTTGAATAAAGCCACGGGTTCACTATGCAAATCAATGGTCACCTATGCAAGCTCTACAAAGATGCCAAATCACTTCAAAGGAGGAGGACTTCTCTCAACATGTTTTTGAACCACCATGATAAGGTTGTATCTCTCTAACCTTGAGCTTTTACCTTCCTTTAATTGATATATTAATGATAGGTATAGTTCAAGTGTGGGGGAGATGAACCTAGTAGGAAAATTAGAGTTTATTTGCTTATTTGACTTCTTTGTTTTGTGTTTTAGTTTAAAAAAAAAATATCTGCACCACACTTTGTTATGCATTCATTATTGATCTCACCTTATTTTATCACTAGTCTATACATACATTGAGGACAATGCATGATTTTAAGTGTGGGGGAGAGAAATAAACATTTTGTTTTGTTTGTTTGGTTTGTTTGGTTTTGCAAAAAAAAATTCAAAAAAAAAACATTTCTTCGTTTTGTTTGTTTGAGGTTACTTAATTACCTAGCTCTTGAATGGATATTTTGATTCTTGAGATGTGGTAATTTTAGGATTGAATAGGTGTGAAGTGAACATTCTTTTACCTTGAATTAATGGATTAGAGTGGCATATACCCTTTCATGGAAGAGGCTAAACACTCATGTGTGATTAATTCTTAGTGATGTTACCCTCTAGAATTTGTTTCACTTCTTAATTAAGACCATAGATCTTGCATTGTTTGATAGGAGATGAGAGATGGCATTCATAAAAATTAGCCAAGAGCCAAATAGCCAACCTTATTTTATTTATTATCTTTGTTAGCCACTTTGAGCCTTGGTTTGATCTAAAAAAAAAAATATAGCACCTTTTTCCCCAAGGAATCCATGTTACACTTTATATGTCTTTTAATCTTCATGCAGTCTTAGATCAAATGAGTGGATGCCTATTATCATTTCTCTA